TGCGAATCGTTTGATTCAGATCGGGACTTCGGAGCAAGTATCGCGAATCGTTTGATTCAGATCGGGACTTCAGAGCAAGTATCGCGAATCGTGTGATTCAGATCGGGACTTCGGAGCATGTATCGCGAATCGTGTGATTCGGAGCATGTATCGCGAATCGTGTAATTCAGATCGGTACTTCGGAGCATGTATCGCGAATCAGATCGGGACTTCAGAGGGTTAGCGAATCTTTCGATTCTTATTCGAACTTCGTAGTGGGTTCGTGAATCATTTTGTGAATTGAAAGATTCATTACACACTACAATGCTCGATCTGAAATGATGGTTCATGAATCATTGGGACTTCAGAGCACGGATCGCGAATCATTAGACCTGATTTAGCAAATAATTTGATTCAGATCTTGGACTCATGAATCTTTTGATTCAAAACATAATTTCGGAGGGCGTGTCGCAAATCATTTGATTTAGATCGGAACTTCGGAGCACGTATCGCGAATCTTTACAGTTTTACTGCATGCCATGTTTAATAGTTAGTGTAGCAAAACCATAGTTAATTTGTGGTTACCACAGTGTTTTTTTTTTTTTTTTTTAGTAAAACCATGGTTAATTTTTTTGAAAGGAATGTGTTGCCAGGTTAATAACAAAAGTACCAAATTTACAACTTAAGAGGACAAATAGGATGAATATAGAAAAACTGTTTTGTTTGCTTTAAGATTAACAGAGCTTTGAATAGTTTCCATATACTGGTCTAGATCAACTCTAAATAAAGAAAAGAGGTGTAGAGCCAGAGTTTTGTTTATGTATGTGAAATTTAGCTAGCAGGGAACACAAATTAAGTACGTTTTCTCTTTTAAGTTGTCAAACAATCAAAACATCTTTAAAACTGCTGCTGTAATGTTATTGTCTGCTGTTATGTCCCCACCAATGACAAAATTAATACGCCCTAGTTGTTTATATAGAGCTTTACGCAATTACTCTACTATAACAAAGGTCTCGTGAATTTTTAATAAATTATAAAGTTCGTATCCCTCTCTCACGTCTTCTTTTTTTCTTGATCTCGGACTTTTATTTTGAAAGCCTTCCGGCGCAGTCGCAGGTAGTTCGGTTGCACTCGCATCAGGCCTGAGTGGATGTGTGGCGATGCCACCGGAGCATCCGGAGCCCAGTGCGTTTCCCCGGCGGTGCGCAACAATGCGGCGCTGGAGATAAAACTTCACCAGCGATGTCAGAGCCCTGAGCTTTCGTCTCGCGCAACTTTATCCAGAGAAGATGTCAGATCATGTCACCAAAACCGTCCAGAAATGGCACGCGAGTTTTAAAAAAGGCACGGACTTTGATTCGTGGGGGCAGCTGGTGGAAGCCATCGATGAATATCAAATGTAAGTAACGCATTTTTGCTCAACATAAAAAAAAATATATATATTTGGCGATCTCTGGGTCAGAGTTGGTTACAAGTGAGGGGGTGTTTTTTTCTACAAACAATACTAATAGAAGTTACATGACAAGTGATGCATTGCAATTACACAAAGTAGCAATTTATTTAAATTGTCAGAGTCATTAGTACTTTATTTCGCGTGCGCTCGCATTGTTCGAGTTGATGCATGTGCATGAGATGCGGGGAGTAAATACATAAGTGTTGTGTTTGGCAGCCTGTCGTGTTGTGCGGCACACCCTCCAGAAGTGGGAGGAGTTTCACTCTCAGTCTGAACCAATGACAACAGATGCACTCTTCCCGAGCTTCACACTCTACTTCTGCATTTTATTCATGGATTTAATGTGCATTTCTTTCTGGAGCACGGTGTCAATAACTGCATTACTGTCCGTAAAGAAAAGCACTTTTATTATGTATTATCTTACAGTGCATTTCATCTCTTAGCTGGACTGCAGATGTGTCTATAAACACAGTTCTCATTAGACATTCAGTCATTTGTTGTGATGTTTTCTTCAGACTCGCAAGGCAACTTCAGAAAGAAGTGCAGTCGTCAAACTCGCATGATTTCACAGAGGAGCAGAAGGTAAGTATGCTGATGATGACTGACAGCTGTCAATCACTTTTTGACGCTTAACGTGACAGCAAATGCAATTTGGAACTGATGTTCAGACATTTTCAATTATATTTATTAGGGCTGTGCAATATATCGAAATATCGCAATATGCATATCGCTAGGGCTTGCGATATTTGGGGCCATGAGCAAAAGACAAAGAGAAAATCACTCACTGCTCTTACCTAAATAACTTGTGTAGCTTAAATAAGAATCAGTGCATACTATGCAGTGTTCCTTTTTATTATTCAGTTCCTAAACTCATGTTAAAATGACATTTTTATGTAATGCTCGAGTAAAACACATACCGTTCACTTTCAGAAGTTGTTGTAGGCGTGCTTTCTTATTAGAATCAGAATCAGCTTTATTCACCACTTAAGTGTGTGCGCAAACACAAGGAATTTGTTGTGGTTTCACAGGAACTCTTGGTACATGCATACATGCATATAACCATATATACTGTATATATATGACACAAGATAGTTATAGAAGTTCACAGAACTGACTCAGCAACAGCGGAGTAAAACTGTTTCATCTGAGCATGTGGCACTTTAAGCATTAAAATATCGCATATCGAATTATTCTTCAATATCGCACAGCCCTAATATTTATTATTAAGATATTTGTTCGTTTTGCTGTGGTCTACTACTGTCCGGAACTGACTCAGCAACAGCGGAGTAAAACTGTTTCATCTGAGCATGTGGCACTTTAAGCACTAAAATATTGAATATCGCATTATTTAATGAGTTATCGCATATCGCATTTTTCTTCAATATCGCACAGCCCTAATATTTATTATTAAGATATTTGTTCGTTTTGCTGTGGTCTACTACTGTCCAGTTCTGCTATCTCGCACAAAATTAGTTTTGTTTTAATTTATTTTTCAGAAAACCCTGGGAAAGTTTGCAACATGCCTTGAAATGCGAAGTGCAGCCTTACAGGTTAGTGCCGTTACAATCATCAGACAAGATGAGAGTTCATTATTACTGACAGTTTCTTCAGAAAGTGTAAAAAAATCCAGTTAAAGATATTGCTGAGACTGTCCCTCCAGCAATGTATTTGTCGTCTCACGTCGTCAATGTAACGATTGGGAATAATACACCGATTATCCGTGCTCTTATGTTTAAACTGTGATTCTGGTGTCTCTCCTTGTCAGTGCACACAATCTCAAGAGGAGTTCAAGTTAGAAGACCTGAAAAAACTGGAGCCCAGTATGTACATTAATATGTGGATATGAATTATTGGGATCTTATCTATGCACAATCAGCTTGTAACACGCCAAAGAGAAAGAACAACTTGAAAAGTATCCTCTAAATTATCTACTCCATGCATTCTGATTTTTTTTCAGTAAAGGTAAAATGTCTTTTAGTCCAATTGTAATTGTCTTCTTGTGGTCAAATCTTTACCAACTTTTATAAAGTCAACATAAGAATAACTTTTATATTTCAAGACGAACACTTACTGGACTGAGTTTATATATCGCTGCTATTCTTCTGTTTCTCCACAGTTATTAAGAACATTCTGACATACAACAAAGATTTCCCTTTTGATGTCCAACCAGTGCCTTTGAGGTAGTTCTTTAATGTTTATTTATAGAACGGATAGTTCCGGTGCTGGATGCTGATTGGTCAATCCAGTATTCCAATTATAACACTGTGCTATAAAGAGTGTTGTTAGGCATGATTATATGCACAATATTACATCTCAAGTGTTTGAAGATACTTACTATACTAATAATATACTTTGTTCCTGTAGAATTTGATTTGAGCAAATGTCTTGTTTTTCTGCTGCAGTGACTGATCATTGATTCTGGGTGTTTTTAGGAAGATTCTTGCACCAGGTGAGGAGGAGAACCTCGAGGAGGAGCTGGACGCTGGGACTGGAGCAGGTTCAACGCCACCCTTCCCTTCAAGGGTTCCAGGTGATTCCCTTCATAGTGCATGACGTTCAGTGTTTACGCACTTCTTTATGCGAATGCCTTAAATCAGGCAGCTAACACTCACATTTTCTTCAGAAATTGGCCTAGCTTTGTTCGGTGTCATTTCAGTATCATTGATATACTATTTTAGTTTTTGTTCATATTTTGAATTAGATTTTCTCTTTTCGTTTTAATTTTAATTTTGTTTCCTTTTTAAATATGTCCATGTAGTTTTATGTTTTAGGTAATTTCATTTCTCCAACTTCAAACAAAATAAAAATGGGAAATATTGCCTTGGATGTAAGTAATGCATTGAATAGCTGCATTGAAATGTTATTTATTTTAAAATATTTATTTGACCATTTTATTTCAGTTAGTATTTAAGTAATGCACTGCAGAAATTATTTTCTTATGCTTGTTTTCATTACAAATACCTACACATTCTCAAATCAACAAACATTTATATGAGAAGCAAAATGAATCATTAAGATATTAAGTTTTGTTTTCTGAAAATTGTATCAAAACAGTTTTTTTTTTTTAATGGGAATATTTTTTTGTGATTAAAATATGTGGCAAGAAAAATTGTCGTTTTCCCTTTAAATTAGATGGTGTTTCTTACCTCATTGGCAGATCATTTTCTTGTTTTAATCAAAAACTAAGGTGACCGTACGTGCCATTTTCCCCGGACGCGTCTTGACCAGGATTTCTATATTGCTTTGATTCAAAGTACCTCGACAGCATTCCGAAAACACAAGGAACCGATGTCATACACCGATCGGTCTGCACACGCAAACAAAGCCAAACCCTAGATATTTTAGGCAATATAGAAATCCTGGCCAGGACGTGTCCTGGGAAAATGGCACGTATGGTCACCCTACAAAAACTAACAAAATTGTGATAAGATTTTTCAGAAAACAAGGTTTAATATCTTAAGTCATTTTGTTTCAACTAAATATATCTTGACTCAAGAATGTTTAGATATTTAGACAAGACACAAATACTGAGCTAAAATTATTTTTTGCACTGATTTTTTTAATGGTTTTAGTTTAACAATAATAGCCCAAGCTCTGTAATAATATATTTAATATAAGTAAACAGTAGATGAACTTGTCTCTATCAACAAGCAAACAAATTTTAGTTTGTGCCAGTTTTTATAGTTTGCCGTCTTTGACAGGTACGCTGTTGCCACGGTTACCCTCGGAGCCAGGATTGACTTTGCTCACGCTGACGATAGAGAAGATCGGTCTGAAAGACGCAGGACAGTGCATTGACCCATACATTACACTCAGTGTTAAAGGTAGAGCTCAGCAGCGCTTGTTAATCGCATATCAGATATGTCTTAACATTTTTCTTACATATTTATCTTTCCTTTTCACTATCCAGATCTGAATGGTATAGACTTGAACCCGGTTCAGGACACGCCAGTGGCCACGCGCAAGGAGGACACGTATATTCATTTTAGCGTGGATGTAGAAATCCAGAAACATCTAGAAAAACTACCAAAAGGTCTCACTTGGCTCTTATAGGAATAGTTCAATCAAAAATGACAATTTGCTCCATCCGAGATTAGGATGAGTTTGTGTCTTCATCAGATTTGGAGAAATGCAGCATTGCATCAGTGTCTCAGCAATGGATGCTCTGCAGTGAATGGGTGCCGTCAGAATGAGCGTCCAAACAGCTGATAAACACATCACAATAATCCACACCACTCCAGTCCATCAGTTAATGTCTTGTGAAGCCAAAAGCTGAAATAAATCCATCATTAAGACGTTTTAACTTCAAACTGTTGCTTACAGCTAAATTATGAGTCCTCTATTTCCATAATATTTCTTTCTCCAGTGAAAAAGAAGATCATCTGTTGTCTCTCTCACATCAAAATCCAGCCACATATTTGTTTAGAGCTGTTTTGGCTTGTAAACGGCGCTTGATCTGTGCAGATCTCTCTCCTGATTCAGACAAGTCAACTTTTTCCACTGGACTCATATTTTGACCAAAAGCAAGAGTTTGAAATGGTTTAAAAAGTTACAAATGTCTTAATGCTTGATTAGTTTTAGCTTTTGTCTTCTCCAGATGTTAACTGATGGACTGGAGTGGTGTGGATTATTGTGATGTGTTTATCAGCTGTTTGGACGCTCATTCTGACGGCACCCATTCACTGCAGAGCATCCATTGCTGAGACACTGATGCAATGCTACATTTCTCCAAATCTGATGAAGACACAAACTCATCCTAATCTTGCATTAAGACTCAAGAGACGGAGTATGAAATATTTCAGTATATTTTTGTGCTTGATCATTATTGCGTTTGCCTCTTTTGTAGGTGCAGCAATTTTCTTCGAATTCAAACACTACAAACCCAAGAAAAGATTCACAAGCACCAAGTGTTTTGCTTTCATGGAAATGGATGAAATCAAACCAGGTCCCATTGTTATAGAACTGTAAGTATCAGGCGAGTTTTTCAAAGTTGGTTGCATCCTACTATGTTACATTAACTCTTTCCCCGCCCGCATTTTTGAAAAAAAGTTGCCAGCCACCGCCAGCGATTTTGATGATTTTCACTAAAATTTGATGGCCTGCAGAATATTTTGCTGTATGAATATTTTAATATACAATACACCAAAATAAAGATCAGATCCTCTACTTTTAATCAAAAAAATAAGTTTTATTCTAGCTTAAAGCATTCTTTTTTTTTTAATCAACACTTGAATATAGGTAGGTTTCATAAAAATGCATAACTTTGAGCAAAAAGGTGAGAAAAGCATTATTTTTCATATGCATGCGTTTACATAAGAGATTCCTCGTGTCTCCATCCTGTACACATGTGTTTTTGTTCAGGAGGTTTTGTACTCGTTCAGAAGATGTGTATTAGTGCCCCCTAGTGTATAACAGTGAAAACACGAAAAGCCGTAAAAACTTGTATATTTGGCGGGGAAGCATTACTAAAAGACGAGATAACTCGTCAATGGTGGGGAAAGAGTTAATATGCAATACTAGGGATGTTCATTTTAACCGGTTAACCATTAACCGACCGTAAGAATTTTTGACAGATTAATACAATCAGTTAAACGGTTTAAAAAGTAATTTTATTTATTTCAGTAATTTATCAAAATATTTAAAAAGGTTTGCTGCATGGTTAAAATATGCTATGCGTATATAAAAAAAAAGTGCATTTTTTTTAGAAAAAAAATTTTTTGCGTATAAGTCGCATTTGATTATTTCATTCAGAAATAGGCCTAATGCCGACGCGATCTCTCACATCAAAATCCAGCCACATATTTGTTTAGAGCTGTTTTGGCTTGTAAACGGCGCTTGATCTGTGCAGATCTCTCTCCTGATTCAGACAAGTCAACTTTTTCCACTGGACTCATATTTTGACCAAAAGCAAGAGTTTGAAATGGTTTAAAAAGTTACAAATGTCTTAATGATGGATTTCTTTCAGCTTTTGGCTTCACAAGACATTAACTGATGGACTGGAGTGGTGTGGATTATTGTGATGTGTTTATCAGCTGTTTGGACTCTCATTCTGACGGCACCCATTCACTGCAGAGCATCCATTGCTGAGACACTGTTGCAGTGCTACATTTCTCCAGACCTGATGAAGACACAAACTCATCCTAATCTTGCATTAAGACTCAAGAGACGGAGTATGAAATATTTCAGTATATTTTTGTGCTTGATCATTATTGCGTTTGCCTCTTTTGTAGGTGCAGCAATTTTCTTCGAATTCAAACACTACAAACCCAAGAAAAGATTCACAAGCACCAAGTGTTTTGCTTTCATGGAAATGGATGAAATCAAACCAGGTCCCATTGTTATAGAACTGTAAGTATCAGGCGAGTTTTTCAAAGTTGGTTGCATCCTACTATGTTACATTAACTCTTTCCCCGCCCGCATTTTTGAAAAAAAGTTGCCAGCCACCGCCAGCGATTTTGATGATTTTCACTAAAATTTGATGGCCTGCAGAATATTTTGCTGTATGAATATTTTAATATACAATACACCAAAATAAAGATCAGATCCTCTACTTTTAATCAAAAAAATAAGTTTTATTCTAGCTTAAAGCATTCTTTTTTTTTTAATCAACACTTGAATATAGGTAGGTTTCATAAAAATGCATAACTTTGAGCAAAAAGGTGAGAAAAGCATTATTTTTCATATGCATGCGTTTACATAAGAGATTCCTCGTGTCTCCATCCTGTACACATGTGTTTTTGTTCAGGAGGTTTTGTACTCGTTCAGAAGATGTGTATTAGTGCCCCCTAGTGTATAACAGTGAAAACACGAAAAGCCGTAAAAACTTGTATATTTGGCGGGGAAGCATTACTAAAAGACGAGATAACTCGTCAATGGTGGGGAAAGAGTTAATATGCAATACTAGGGATGTTCATTTTAACCGGTTAACCATTAACCGACCGTAAGAATTTTTGACAGATTAATACAATCAGTTAAACGGTTTAAAAAGTAATTTTATTTATTTCAGTAATTTATCAAAATATTTAAAAAGGTTTGCTGCATGGTTAAAATATGCTATGCGTATATAAAAAAAAAGTGCATTTTTTTTAGAAAAAAAATTTTTTGCGTATAAGTCGCATTTGATTATTTCATTCAGAAATAGGCCTAATGCCGACGCGAAATGTTTACAAACATTATAATAAACACTGTAAACATAGCTAGGCTATTTTAGCTCCCCTCACTCCACGACAAAGCCTTTCAATAAACAGTATTTTGAAAAGAACGAGAATTAAAAATATAAAAAGCTATAAACGAGAAGCCAAAACGAATTAATTTAGGCTAAAATGAAACTGAAACCAACGTTGGGTCTCTCATTCGACACAAAATCTAATGTTTCCATATTCGCGATGTATTTGAATGGCAAATTATTATTTATTATGTAGCCTAGGCTACTTCACTGGCATTCCAGTATCCGCGTAAAACAAAATGTTTTGCATAACATCACGGCGGTACGGTGATAACGCTTAACGGCACAGATTTTACTACATTTTTAAACTGAGCAGTCTGTTTTTTTTACATATGTTTGATTGACTATTTTATTATGATAATGAACAGGCTGCATTGTCAAGGTAGCAAAGTTTAACTGTGTGCGCGCATGCGGCGCCGGCGCAATCACTATCGGAATAATCGGAATTGTAAAAGTTTTGCCTTTATTTGTGTACATTCACAATAAAAACAAATCTTTGTGCTTTTGTTAAAAAAGCCTAAAGAAAAATAGGATGCCGCTTTCTGCCGTCTTGGTTTCCTTTCGCGCAGCACAAAAATGTCCCGAAACTCTGCATACTTGTTGCACAGTTTTTCTTTGGTTTTCTTAATTTATTATTCAAGTAAAAAGCTATTTCTCGTATAGGCCTATTTATTATTATTATTATTATATTAATATATTATTATTATTTCTATATAGCCTAGCTTTATGATGTTTTTCTCTGCTGGCAGATGCGCTGCAGGTGCATGATGTGATGCATGTGAATCCTCAATGTTTGCTGCATTTTTCGGATGTAAAATGAATCCCCGGGAAACAAATGTTAGTATTTTTAACGGATCAGAGACACTTATCCTTTCTAATTTAATTCAGTTCTAATTTAAAATAATCTTAAATTGGTTAACGGTTAATAATTGGTTAACGAGCGTCGGTTGTCGGTTAGGAAAAATAACCGAAATGAACATCCCTATGCAATACATAAATACAATCTGATTTTAGGTACAAGAAACCGACTGACTTCAAGAGGAAGAAACTCAACCTCCTGACAAAGAAACCACTTTTCCTGCACCTTAACCAGAGTTTGCACAAAGACTAAACCAAGATCCGACAGCCAAACACTTGATGGACAGCAGAGGTTATATTTCTCAGATATGTTTGGTGCATCGCCTCTCACATTCCTTGCAATATCAGACACTTTTCTTCATATCTCCAATCTGAAGTTTGGGACACAGCCTGATTTCTCCGCGGTGCTTCATCTGAGAGAGAAATGAGTGTTAGAAATGCTAACTATTTCAAAAACTGAATTGTGTACAAATGATGTTGACTTCTGATGGATATAACTTGGATATAACACAACTTCCCATTGGTTTTTATATTTTTATTGCATTAAAGAAACCGCTCGCCCTCATCTTCCAAACCTGTATGCTGTTATTATTTGAAAGTCTCTTATTCATGAAATGTAAACCGAAAACAAAAACAAAAACAAAGCACCATTAAACATCATAAAAAGAATCTATTTCATGTTTTACATTTTCGGAACCCATACAAGCTTTGTAGACTTAATATTAAACCGTTATTCAGTGAAAATCTGCAATATTTTCTCATGGGTATGTTGTCCGGTTATGATATGTGATTCAGTGGCCGTTTGATTCTTAAAACCAATTGAATCTGAACATATAACTTTGGTTTGGTTTTTGTGTATGCACATGTACTGTGGGGAAAAAACAGCATACAAATTTGGAATTACATGAGGCGAGTAAATATTCACAGAAAATTAACTATTCCTTTATAAATGTTGTTTAACACAAGTTTATTGCTTTTATTGAGTATGCATTGCTTGCTAATGCTATACATATGGAGTACATAAAAACCCTAAAAAAACAACACTAAACATTTCAAATATATATATTTTTGAGATTTCTTTACACTTTGGGTAACTGCTTATTAACTGGCTAATATTAATTTAGCATTACAAGGCACTTTTCTTTAAAATAATGGGGTTTGGCTCCGTAACATCATTGAAAATCTATCACAATGACCTTGTAGTACTCTTTAATAGATATTTCAGAGGTTGAATTGAGTATGAATCAGAAAAGCCAGTAAATATGACCGTGTGAAAGGAGAAGCTGGAGAAGTTGAAGCAATAGCATGCCAGCTTTGCAATTAGGTCCACACTTTGCTCTTAGATGAATAGTTGGGTCTGGTTAGTTTGAGGAAATGACTTCCTTCAGGACGAGTTTCTCAAACAGTTTTAACCAAGTTTACTAAAGGATTCCAGAAGAAGTTTGACATGAGCTAGGCTCTGTTTGGAGACTAGCCTAACTGCTTATTTCATTACACTTTTATCACAGGAATTTTCCAGATTCTTTTTTAATAAGGAAAAACTAATGGAGATGCTGTTTAATGTAGTTATGTCAGTGTTGGGAGTCTCGGAATCAACTAAATGGTTAAAAAAGTACTGCATTTCTGTGAAGACTTTATTCATCAGGTTGTTTAATGGCGTGTGTATCATTACACAGCTTTTTCGAATGTCTCATTTCTAATAAATGATAATGCTGCTTGATTCATTAATACTTTATAAATATACTTCAGCCTCGAGGAAACACGTTAACGTCAACTGTCATAGCAAACTAATAAAGTAGTCTACCTATCTGTACTATATATATATATGAAATAATGAGAACATGTAGGCAAATCTTGGCATGATTAATCGTTAAATGCAAATGATCTGGATTTATGGAAAGTGCATCATTAGTCCAGAGTGAAATCCCATATGGTGCAGTTTGCTATATAAAGATGTCCTAAAAGTATGGTAGCTGGTGTTTTAATGATTTTAGTGGATGTTTGAAGTCAGACCTCCTCACACACACAGGTGTAGAGAATCAAATCAAATTAACTATCAGCACGATCCACGAAACATAAATATAAAATCACAATACTACACGTCTATTATTTGAACATTTTAAACCATGCAAACTTCATTTTAAATTGTGCACCTTTATTAAGATAGATACCAAAGTTTGATAGGGTCACTTATTTTGTAAACGCTAATGTTAGGAAAACTTGCTAAACTAAAATTTGCTGACTTTGCTCACATCATAACTTACTTGTGCACCTTTATTAAGATAGATACCAAAGTTTGATAGGGTCACCTATTTTGTAAACGCTAATGTTAGGAAAACTTGCTAAACTAAAATTTGCTGACTTTGCTCACATCATAACTTACAAAAAAAAAACCTGACTAGTTTTGTACCTTTTGTTGAATTGCTTAGAAATTGCTTTATGTTATTATTGTTACCAAATATTGGATTTAATGTCTTTATTACCTTTTTTCTTTCAATTAGCAGAAGTTGTGTTTTTTATGGTAAGCCTAATTTTTTGTGTAAACACTACCAAAATTATACACTTGATTTTTCACTCAAAAACTGTGCATAAGCTCAGATCCCTGAGGTCTATGATCAATCAGTTCCCAAAAGCAATACAAAACTGTATATAAAAACCTGTGCTAAACAGAACAAAAAAAAGACTAATTCCAAAATTTGGTGATAATAGAGATTAATAATGAGGGATTTACAAGCAATTTTTTAAAGGCCGGTCATTTTTGATGAAGAAAACCAAATTAGGAAAGGATTTTGAGCACAGCAAAAGCATTATCTAAATGCTCTTTGAGACAAATGTTGGCATGATTGATTACTTGATGCAAATGTCCTGGATTAATTAGTCCAGAGCTAAATCTGACTCCTCAGAGTTCTTGTTGAAAGGTGTTGAGTCGCACGACGCTGGATTCGCCAGTAAACATTCATCAAAACTACAGGAAAAAAAGCAGCTTTATTCAACTCATTCATTACTGTAAAATCAATGCCACATTTTTTAAAATGGTTTATTTTCCATGATTAACACATGATGCAAACACTTGTTACTGCGCACAAGATACATCCTCTCAACACACTTCCTAAAATAATTTACTCTATCAAACAAAACAATATATGCCAAAAAAAAAAAAGGGTTGATGGATTGAGTATTTTTCCATTTTGATTCCAAAAGCATTGCATCAGAAACCCAGAGAACATCATTCATGGGCCTCGTTCATGAAACACGAGCAGATTTTCTGTGAGTAAAACCATTCTGGGAAGGAATAGTTTATATATATATATTATTGCAATTCAATGAATCATTTGCAATGAATGTGCGACACTTGCTCGTGAATCGAATGACTTTCGTTTTCATGAATGTTTTGACGTAACTGTCACAATCAAGTCACAGAGTTTGTCAAAAATCATCATGCAACATCCAATAATACATTTAAATCACCTGTTGACTAGGAAAGCTCGGATGCGCAAACACACAACGTTCATCTGTTTCTATTGTGTCTGATTTGTGAGAATATTTTATTGTATACGCAGCTGAAAGAAATGTACAAATACTTTGTCAATATGACATCATATGTGCCTTTTTCCGCTAGGAAAATAAATCATAAGAGCAGACGCACGACGAATCAAACGTTAAAACTAACACAGGCGAGCTGGCGAATCATCAGACTAAAAGCCGTAATATGGGCGTTCAAAAATGGTGAAAAGGCATAAAAATATGTAAAGTCCTCTCACATTAAAGGCATGAGGAAATAACTTCATGACGTGCCTAAATATCAGTTTGACATCCCAGAATGCATCAGCACTGGGTCGAGTGGTAGAGATCTTAATTTAACCACATGACAACCACCGGGAAAAACAATTGTAATGCATATTAAATCAAACTATTTCCATAGGAAAGGTTTGCTAAGGTATAAAATCAAAACCCTCATTATTTCGGTCACAAATGTGTTATTCAAACAAAATGACGTGTTTTCTTCCACCCAAACCAGATTCTGATGAATTAAGAAGAATCGGCACGTTCTCATGTCAAGGCTCGCTGTGCTGATGGGATGCATTCGTTGGCGGGTCGTTGGCTGGTGTGGCGCTCCCCTCGCCGTCTCTGGAGCGCTGAGGGATTAGCGGAGGGGGTCCTGGGAAACCGCGCCCGCCGTACGGAGGCGGGATCATGGCTCCGGGGGGCGGCAGAGGTCCGGGAGGGAAGGGGCGAGGGGGGAGTCCGCGAGGGCCGAAGAATTCGGGCGGGACGTCCCGTGGTCCGAGCGGCGGAGGAAGCGGTCCAAACGGCGGGCCTCGTCCTGATCAAGCAAAACGCAACGTAAGGTTTAGAGATGCACTGAAAATGAATATCCAAAATCACTGAACAAAACTGTGACATCTGATTAACTTTCATATTGTCAATTTAATTAAGAAACACAAACAATAAATGTAGTTTTCACGCTCTTTAATGTGGCGTGACAGATTGCCGTAACCATGTAAAGACTAGTGATGCACCAAAATGTCAGCAACCAAAATATTTAAGCCGAAACAGCAATTTTCTGTTTCATCATCAACATGCTAGCAACATGATAATCATGTAAACAACATATTAACATGCTAATTATGTTAGCAATAGCTAACAACATGTTAATCATGCTAACAACGTTAAAACATGCTAATCATGTTAAAAACAAGCTAGCAACACGGTAACCATGTTGACAACATGCTAAGAACACAATCATACTAACAATGTGTTCAAACATGCTAAATCATGCTAGCAACATCTATCTATTCAAACTTCAAGCTTTTACAGCTGCTTCAAACTCTCAGGCTAGGCTTTCTCAAGCCAACACATTTTAAGTTGTTGTCAGTTAACTTTCAAATCGTTAATTTTATAATGAAACAAAAACAATAAATGTAGTTTTGACGCTCATTAATGTGGAATGACAGATCGCTGTAACCACAAAGACTAGTGATGCAACCAAAATATTTCAGCCGAGACATAAATTTTAAGTTTCAAAATAGTTTGTCAATAACTTCAGCCCTCCAAAACTGTGACTTCTAATCAGCTTTTAAAAACAGTCTTGTGTATAATTCTAATGTACAACTCCATTTTTGAGTGTCGATTATTAAATACATTTGATTAATTCATTAATTATAAAATAACATTTGTTTTATTTTTGGTTTCTTTAAAAAATTTAATACGGTGCAATAATATTTATACAATTATTCAAAAAAATATTTTAAAATAAGCTTTAAAAAGTCTTCGTTTTCACAAAAACAAATATTAGTAAAGACATCAATAAAACCGTATGTAAGCAATGTCACGAAACAAGCCGTTCAATGTCAGCTAGAAAAAAATACAACTAAAGAGGAGCATTTTGCTAAATGTGCACTATATTACATACGTTTCAAATATTATTTATTCTAATATAACATTACATATTAAAATATATTTAATGATGTTGTCGTCTTTATTCAATGTATTTTTGATAAATCTCATGAAAACTAGTTTTTAAATGTTCATATTTTAACAATGAACTCTAGTAGAAACGTAATTATTTAAAAGCTGATATTTAAACCGTTTTATGTGCAATTTAAACGTTTTTTAGTCCAGGTGATATGTGAACAATGTTCACTTTTTCATAAACGCATGAAACTTGGTACACTTGTATAGTTTGCGGCCCTAAACATTTTCAGAAATGGCGCCATCGCAAAAACACCTCGTGGTTGCCATGGCGACCATTTTACGTTCCGCCATAACCAAATTATGTATTTTGTGTTATAGCTCCTGAACCAAAAACCACGAAAACACAGAAAAGGTGATGTCTACCTCTATGTTTTGATGGTCAAGGATTACAATGATACCATAATACAGCAACATAAACTGTTCAGGTGAAGACTTAATGGTGAAATCAGCAATGTGAGAAGGAGTATCACAGTATATATATACAACTGGTTTATTTGAGTGTTCATTAGTAAATAAATCGGATTAACTGATTATTAATAAACTTTTGGCTAATTAAAATCTTTAATAAAAGTTAATGTTGGTGCATCACTAGTTTCAGCAGTGTTGAATCGCTTACCAAACGGTGGCGGTACAGGTCCAAACGGGCCGTAGGAGTCCATGGGTGGCGGTCTGTAGCGCGGCTCTGGAGGCATCATGGGCGGTCGGATCATCATGGGCGGCATGACCGGAGGTCCGTAAGACTTGGGTGGCGGAACCGGAGAATCCCGGATGGGAGACGGGAGGAAGGATCCCTGACTCTGAGACTTAGAGAGCTGGAGGAGAAAAATGCAGAACTACAGGTTACGGAAAAATACTCTCTAGAGCTCTGAGGTGGTTTAACACCGGATTCCTGTTAACCGACCCAAGCAGACATCAGTGAACCACTGCAAGGCCAGAAACACATTTTATACAAGAACAACAGCAGACACAAGTGCAGGGATTCACTAACTCTTTTATTACCCTAACATCTTAAACACAAAATATTTTAATATTCAAATACTTGTAGTCGCCATGAGATTAAGTTCTTTCAATAATTTAACATTCACATGAATGCGCATGGCTCTCTGATGTTGTTTAATGGTCACACTGGTGTTTTAGGAACCCCAATCAAATGTAATATAATAATAATAACAATAATAATAATAGCAGTAATAATTATCAGTTCTATTGATCATTAATTATTAATATACAATTATTATTGTTGATTACTAATCTAACTAATTATAAAAAATTATAAAATATTACTGTTCTCAATTACAACGGTACTGTAAAATAAACTGAATATTTGATCATTATTTTACACAAGTTACAATACTAATGTGTCTTAAATTCAAACGCTCAAGGTCACTCAAGCTTTATTAATAATACTTATAATTGTTGACTAAAAATGAATAAAGAAATATCTTACGGTTGTAAAATAAATGTATAATGTAAAATAATATTTGATAATTTTGTATTTTACACAACAAGTTGCAATATTAATATTGATGTCTTAAATTCTTCACTTTCAAACATTCAAGCTCTCAAGCTTTTAACACTTCAATGCTTAATCATCATAACGGTTGATAATTATTTTGGTCCAATTATAAAAAAAATTCAACAGTTGTAAATTACAATTGTTCTGTAAAAACAAATATTACAATAATAATATTTATGTCTTAAAGTTATTATTAATGGGTACTCAAGCTTTTATAATTTATAAAATATTTACATTTTTTTTAAATATTCAAGCTTTTGTCATTTCAAAGCCTCAAGCTTTTATTTTGGCAGAATACTTCAGTCCACAAAAATGTTTGAAATTATGAAAATGTCTAAAAGCATAAGTGGCAAATGTTGCATTACCAAATGCATGTTAAACTTGCAGGACATGCAGAGATGAAGCTGCATTATTTGAGCAGCCCTATTTATTTATTTTAATTTTACATTCGATTAAATTGAACATACTTAAGATGCACTTGTGTCACTGTGGTGGTAACAGGGGCCGATAAAGTTTTGTTGTGTTCCATTATGAAATCACAACAAATCAATCTTGCACTGCTATTTAGCATACATGCACTTGTGTAGAGTGTGTTTCAGGCCTGTACATGCTGTAACTCACTCACCAACATGAGTTTTGTTAAACATCCGCCACATTCCGAACACAAGACCCACACAGTGATTAGAAAGTGAACAGAAAGACATGTTTAATCAGGCTCTGAAGACCCAAAAACAGCTGACAAAGCAACCTGGCACTGTGCACAAAGCCATCCCATCCATCCCAGCACCCAGCCGCTGTACTCACAGGCTCTACTGGCTCAGACGAGACCTGCTCTGAGGCCTCGGCCGTCTCACTGACCGGTGCCGTCTGCTTTAAAGCAAACACACCCACCGTCGTTTAATGGAGAACAACATGACTGTTTCTTACACACGTTTACTGGAGATCTCCTCGCTCACATCTGAACACAATGTACATCAAATCTCAAACAGAGAAAAGCGTGACCGCTGTGATCCTTACCATCGGTCCATCATGTGCACAGGGAGATGAAGTCATCGGAGGAAACATTTCTGAAAAACAGACATTTGGACATCTGTGAATGCAGATATAATGTAGATCTTAAACTGTGCAATTCAAACCATATCTGATACAGTCCACATTTATTAAAAAACTAAGAAATAATATAATTAAATGATGAAAATTCACATTTAAATATTGATTTTCTTTACAATATTAGATTTAGGATTCAGTGAACTCTTTACATGAAGTATTTAAATGTTAACGTAATAAAACAATGACTTTAAAAACCGTACGCTACTATTTCAAGTTGTGACAGTAAAGAGTTTTACGTTACAAACTATTTCTATTTCAAATGAATGCTGTTCTTTTGAACTTTCTGTTCATCAAAGAATCACAAAAAAAGTTAAATTTTTCTATTTAGGTTTATTTCAGTTTTAGTACTTTAGATAGTTGACAAGTCAACATTTATAATTTTCATTTAAGATATTTTCAAGATTTATCAAATATTTATTTCAGCTATATTTCAAATCACAAAAAAAGTATTTTTTTATTTTTTGTTAATATAATCATTGTCATTATTTTTTAATATAATTTTTCTATTTAGCTTTGATTTATTTATATTTCAGTTTTAGTTATTTTAGTAATTATTTTCGTTGGAAAGGTAACATTCCATTTTTACCCCCGGTTTTATTTATTTTTTAAATGAATACTTTTATTCAGCAAGGATGCATTAATTTGATCAAAAGTGACAGTAAAGATATTTAGAATGTTACAAACGATTCTATTCAAATAAATGCTGTTCTTTTGAACTTTCGATTCATCAAAGAATCATGAAAAATAAAATGTATCACACTTTCCACAAAAATATTTAGTAGCACAGCTGTTTTCAACATTGATAATAATCAGAAATGTTTCTTGAGCAGCAAATCAGCATATTAGAATGATTTCTGAAGGATCATGTGACACTGAGGACTGGAAAATTCAGCTTTGATCACAGAAATAAATTACATTTTAAAATGTATTACAATAGAAAACGGTTATTTTAAATAATGATAATAATAATAATAATAATATTTAAAAAATGTACTACATATTTTATAAACAAATGCAGCTGCTTTATAACGGCTCGTATCATAAGCACCTGGTCTGGATGGCAGCGGGTGTCCGAGCTCTGAGAAGCGTCCGTGAGGGTCAGACGGGGGTCGTGGACCTGGAACAGATCACAAGTGATTAGGAGCCGCTATAAATCATTTTATACTGACATTAGATGCTGGAGTTCAGGAGCGAACGCATCAGGAGCACTTTCAATGACAAAGACAGAAGAAAATGCTGTGAGGAGAGAAACTGAGGGGGAAATGACAGGCGATCTAAAAACGTAGAGCGACTCAAAAACAGGAAAGCTGGAAAAATGAGAGGAGGATAAAGTTGATGTCAAGGGGAGGAGGACGACGCAGCGGCGACTCACCGAACGGTTCACCCCTTCGCCCTACAGGTGCAGAGGGGGGGCGTCCTGGACCCTCGATCATTAGAGGAGGAGAGGGAGCCCCCCCACTCACAGGAGACGGCCCGTACGAGTCACCTGCTCAGACCAAACCGGCACAATCAGAAACAATACCGGACACATGAGAGGAATCAACCCTGTGCTAAGCTCCGCCCCTCAGTTACTGCTGCTCGGTCAGACAATCTTACAAAAGTAGCTTGTTATTAATAAGTATTTGTATTCTTACTTTTAGTTTTTTTGTATTCTTAGTTTTTTTTTCGTCAACTTAGAAAAATGTAAAATGTCTCTACTTGAATGAAAGATAAAAATACTGCTTGCATCATCTCTGGAATTACATTATACCAAAGTTATCTTAACAATATTTATATACTATTATAGTAGTTATTTTTTAGTAGCTTTCATTTTATTATTTTCAGCTTTCATTTTATTTTTAGTCATTTCATTACATGCTTTTGTCATTAGTTTTTTTTTTTTTTTTAAATAGTTAAAAATGTAATAATGACATTTTATTTCAGCTTTATTTAAATTATTTGAATAGCCTGTCAGACTAAATGTGGTTTTGTCATTGTCAGTTCTTTAAAAATATTTTTTTCTAACTGCTATTTAGAACAATTTCAGTTTTATTTGACATTTATTGAAATAGATTTGGTTAACAACATTGCATTATATAAGAGAGAAAGTCATTCGTTTTTTGTCTGTTTTTTAAAAAATATTTTTTCTATTGATCATTAATGATTTTTTATTTCAGTTATTTTAGTACTTATTTTAGTTAAAAATTGTAATTTAATATTTATATTTAATTTCAATTAATGACAATGATTTTTTGTTTCAGTTAACAATAACAGCATTGCATTATACAAGAAAAAAAAAAGACTGTCGGACTGAATGTTTGTCTTTTTTTTAAATAAATTTCTGTTTTGCATACATTTTTATTTCTGTTTTATTCATTTTTGTCTTTAAGCTTTTGTCAGTTTTTGTTTGTTTAAAAAAATATTTTTTGTATTTTCTTTCATCTAATATTTATATTTGATTTCAATTAACAAATGATTTTTTATATTTTTGCTAACAACACTGCATTATGCAAAAGCCTGCCAGACTAACAGCAGCTGTTACGTGGGTCGTTTGTGTTGTAAAGTCCCTGTGAAGAGTGAATTAGAGGACAGAAACTGCTCACCTCTTCTCTGTGGCGGCATGTGGCGATCTGGAGGTCCAGAGTTGAGTTTGAACAGACTTTGCTCCAGGTCTGATATTTTATCTCCGTACTCCACAAGCCTTTACAAATGCACAAACATCAGAGATCAGAAACAACTCTGACAACAACAGCAATGATATGGAGAATACTACTCACTTCTGACGAAGGGTGGCCGACTCTCTCCTTTCCTCCACCAGAGTTCGTTCAGAGGTGCGGGCTTTCAACTATAGAAAATAAAGTATGATTAAAACATTGGTAAATATATCAGTATTAGCCAATATCATTAGTATTAATAATAATGTATTATTGGTATTAACATTAGCCAAGTTTAAGTTTCAGTAATTTTGTTATCTGCTTTTTTTTATTGTAATGATTTTAAATAATAATTGTAAGCTATCAGTATCAGTCAGTGCATCTCTAATGCAAAAGACAAAAAGCTTCTAGTTTTCATTACAAAGACGAAGCGTGGGAATCACTCACCCAGTTCTCATGGGCTTTCTTCTCCTGGATTGCCACCTGTTAGAAAGCGCAGGCAGGAGTTGAGATTGAGACTGATGTGCCGGATTGAGAATACAGTGACTCTGTGCAGTAAATGTTTCTCACCTCAGACTTCAGAGAGCGTTCGTTCTGCTGCATCTCGTCCTCGATGTCCTTGATCTTCTGTTTGAGGACTCTCACCTCCTCCTCGGAGCACAGAGCTTTACTGTCCACTTCCGACAGCTTCGACTCCTTCTCGCGTCTCTCCAGCTCCTCCTGAGTCAGTTTCCTACACACAACAGGTCAGTTTATATTAGCAATCCAGCATCATGAAATACAGGCTGCATTTGAGCTTTCAAATTCAATTTTATGAAACCTGCGTCATCCTAAACAGCCAGATCAGTCATCTATTTCTTCTGTTTTCTAGTTTGCTTCCTAATGTAGTTGTCTAATAAACCTGGCATTGTATATTACAAATATTGTTGGCTCTTTATCAAATTGCTTTTTGTAAGTCACTTTGGATGAAAGTGTGTGTTCAATGCATAAATGTAAATTAATTGCGCATCATTTAGGATGCAACGTCACACAACCGCTGTGAAATACAGTCGCTTCTATCATAACATGCACTCAGCGTCAGCGCCACGGGGGGCCTTAGGTGGCCCGGCCCGGCCACCTCAGTCACTGTGCCCCCTCACTTCTGGTGCCGTCTCCGTAGTGGGCACCCTGATTTTAGTTGGTGAGGCAAGGTACTGCCCTGGGAAGGTCTCCCAGGCTGTTAAATACACAGATTAAAAGCGAAATGTTTTCATTTCGGTTCGTTCTTAGCAAAAAATATTTTTCTTTTCGTTCAGGTTATGCAGAGCAAAATAAGAACGGTGCTGCATTTAGAAAGAATTCTTATTAACTTTGCTATTATTCTTGAATTTTCAAACTGTTAACACTTTGCAGTTTTGAATTATGCCTTTACTGTATGACCAAAAATTACAGAGTAGTCTATTTGATGTTTCAGCTGTTTGATCGCGCTGGCGCCTCACGCGCACACTAAGCTACTGCATTCATTGGAAACAGCACAGCCTTTCACCGTGCCGTTCGGCACGAGACCCGCTCCACTTAGGCCTGCCGTTATTATTTCTGAAAATGCAACTTATACGAGACATACCTTTTTTTTTTTTTTAAAAGCATGCAGCAAACAAAAATATGCGATTAATCTGTTAAAATGTGTTACTGTGGGTTAACATTTTCATTAGGAGGCTATTCTTATGCTTGGCTTCACAGATAGCACCAGAGTCTGGGCCAAATCTGGTTTACATTCACTTCTGGCTTTTTTTCAGTCTTGATTGCAAATGTTTTTGTTTTTTTTATGTACGATGGATAATTAAAACAAAAATCAGGCGTGTGTATTTATAACATCAATTACTAGGCCAACATTCTATTTTTCAGAAATGGAAGTAACTCAAAATGTTGCGTGTTCGTAATTTTAATATTTTTATCTATAGGCCTATACAGCAAAACTACAGAGCTTCCAGTAGGTTATTTTACGGAGCTGTAAACACGGGAATCTCCGACCGCATGCAATCTTTGACGAACACCCAATTCATATATCAAATTGTACATAGGCTATATATCAGATTATTTTATTTACAAGTTTCATGTTTGTGTTTATCCCGTTTTTTCCCCCTTTGCATCTGAAAATTACTTTCAGAAACATTATTTTTTCAAAGCAGCGCGCCCCCCCCCCAATAAATTGTGCCTGCCCCCTCACTTTGTGCGCTCTGGCGCCGACCCTGCATGCACTTCATGAGTTTAGCATGATTTCTAGTTTCCATCTGCACTTCCACAGCTGATGCTCGCTCAAGTTATTTTTTTAGAAAGTTTATATTTTGAGATATTCATCATATTTTAATACATTGTAATTGAAAATATGGAAATAAAAAAATATATATATATTGCAACGCTCCCTGAACTAACGGATCTGATATGAGCACTCAATTTTCTATTTTACAGTGAACTATTACAATATTAACATTTTGTTTTTTAATTGCATTTTAAATCAAAAACATATAAAAAGAATCTTAATAGATCACAATAATTGGCTTTTCATGGTTGGTCCTTTTGCAGAAAGAAAAACTTAAAATGTTATTTCAATTGAAACAACACAATTATTCTACTAGTACAACACCTTCTGTAGTATTTCATTATATACACACACTAACTAAAACATGAAAATAAAAAAATTATCTTAAAATATATACATGCATATGTTTGTATTTATATAGACATAATAAATATACACAGTATACACACATATTATCTAAACAAAAACTTTCATTTTGGATGCGATTAATCGTTTGACAGCACTAAATGGTAATAATAATATTATTATTATTATATAATCATACTGATAAACTGCTAATTTGTAGCCAAATTGTGCATACAAACAGCTTTTTACTGCAGCAGAAATGATCAGAAAAACTGCAATAATATTTTTCCCAAATCATGCAGCCCTAATTAAATGTATCAACAACAGATCACAATAACTGGCTTTTATGGTTGCCAAGCATCAAAACAATAGAAGCTCATTCTATAAACATTGGGCCTCTTGCAGCATGAAAAACAGAGTTGTTATTCAAATTTTGAATTTAAAATTTTTTAATCTAAACTGAAATCTGGCAAACCCAAAATAATTCCATAGAAGAGTGCTTTTTACTTTAGTTCCAAAGTTTTTTTTATGAGTGTGCACTTGTAAGAACTAACTTATTAAAACTTGTTAGGAGTGGATGCTAGTTAAATGCCACAGATCATGATTGCATTCTTGGTTACGTTGCTCAACTGATGCAAAAAAACAAAAAATGTTTAAATCAATAGAACAATCTGATAGTTAGAGTTCTGAAATGGAATGTTGTGATTGACACTTTAAATAATCAGTATCTTGATTATTTCTTCTTTTCTCAGTAGATGACTTTCTGAATTTCTCATGTTTCATCTGTGGATCACGGCAGACTCGGAAAAATAAAGCGTTATGAGTCACTCTAGATGAGAGCATCTGCTGAATGCAAATGAACACAGCTCCCCTGACACAAGACAAAAAAGCGAAAACTAAATTTAAATAAAACAATTGGAGTTATAAATAGAGACTGACCAGCATCTTCTCCATTAGACATTTTAGCATCATCTTTCTGTAGTTCTGCAGGATCACCGGCTCCCAGACGGTTGAGCTCTGCAATACAGCTGGACAAAACCTAGACACCAGAGAATCATGGGATACCCCGCATTCACGTTGTGATATTTTGGAGAATGCATTAGAATTTGTAATCAAATTTAAATAAAGCTCCGCCGGACCACCTGTTTTATAATACGCAACAAGTTTCACTCACATCAATCTCATTCTCCTTGTGCACCAGAGAGTCTTCCAGCTCTTTCTGGGATTTGTGGTAAACTCGGATCTCCTCGCTCAGTTTCTTGTGCTTCTCCTGCCAGTCTTTCGCATCACGGAGGAGCTGTTTGAAAATAAATGATCATTAGATTCAAGCTGACACCGATGGATGAATGAGATTCACAGCTCTGACAGCAGGACTCACAGATTTCTTCTGCTCTTTTAAAGCGCCGTTTTCCTTCTCGAAGGACAGCACCTGAGCCTTAAGAGCATCTTCTCTGAGTTTGGCTTCATCCATGAGGACATGAACCTGTTATCAAATCAAAACAAACCCAAAGAGACGCAAACCATTTAATACCTTCATCTTTAGGACACGAGGGAACTAAATCAAATGTTCAGATACATCTTCAGATGACTACAAAACAGGGTTATGGTAAACTAAAACTAAAATTTAAACCTTTAAAAATGTTACCTGAAATAAATGTTAACTAATGTAAAAAAGTACTTTTTGGAATTTTATTCCAGCTTGTTGACAAGGCAAACTTTCTCATTGTTTAACTTGCTGTACTAAAATAACTTAATCTGAAAAAAAGGTAATTAAAAATTAAAGCTGTGTGTGTATAATATATATATATATACACTTTTTTTTTAATGTTAGCAACCAAATTACTCAAACTTTAACTAAAATTAAAAAGGAAAATACATTAAACTGATTCAAATAATGAATAAAAACTATAATAGTATCTCAATGATACTAAAATAACACTACAAATGCATTTTAGATCATTTTACAGAAAAACCCATAGAAATCCAAGCATATAATAATTTAATAAATTATCACAAATCATAAAATCATCAAAATTTTGTTGATAATGTTCAATGATAAAAATGTATTCAAAAACTACTGAAGAAAACGGTCTTAGCATTTTCATTATTTAGAAACAAAACAAAGTGAAATGAAAAAGCAAATTACTCAAACTTTAACTAAAATTAAAAAGGAAAATACATTAAACTGATTCAAATAATGAATAAAAACTATAATAGTATCTCAATGATACTAAAATAACACTACAAATGCATTTTAGATCATTTTACAGAAAAACCCATAGAAATCCAAGCATATAATAATTTAATAAATTATCACAAATCATAAAATCATCAATTTTGTTGATAATGTTCAATGATAAAAATGTATTCAAAAACTACTGAAGAAAACGGTCTTAGCATTTTCATTATTTAGAAACAAAACAAAGTGAAATGAAAAATGTTTCAAAAAAATATTTTTTGTGGACTAATTCAAATGTTGATATATGATCGATTACTAAAAAAAAACATTGAGATCATTTTATAGACAGAATTCCTGCATATAAGGAAGGGATGAGCAATAAACAATAAATTATGATATTCTCAAACTGTAGTTGATTATTAATATACATATATATATAAAAAAATGGAAGAATTCAATTTCAAAATTCACTGGAACAAAAAATATTCAACTTAAAAATGTATATTTAAATTATACAGAAATTATAAACTGCAATAAACCTAATTTATCTTTTTTTATTATTGCACTCATTTAAAAGCAACTTATAGCTGCTGAAACATTTACCAGCTGGAAATAAATACAAAAATGTCAATTCATTACAGAAATATGCATACATTTTCAAAATGGACTTTTCCAAGTCTGTTTTAAAATACTCTGGTTTTGCTCTGACGGTAGGAATCCTTATTTAATTATTCACTCAATGCAATTGCTTCTCTCTCTTCATGATTGTTAGTCTAAAAAACAAGCAGTTGTAGGATAACCTGTCAATGTTAGCAACAGTAACCAAGTATGAATGCATGATGTTTGTTATGGAATGATTGTTCGAGTCACTTAATTTGTTTTGCATAACCGTGACAGAAACAATAAATGGAAATCTATAATGGCTAACAAATTGATGTCAGATCAATGTATTCAGCACAAATTACCTTTGCACGCTCCTCATCATAGCTCTTCAGTGTTTTCTGGTATTTCTCGATTCTCTGGTGCATTTTGGCAATCTTCGTTTGAGAGAAAAACTAAAAGGTTATGAGATCACACTGGCAAAAAAAAATTAAAGAAATCAAAGCTTACCTTCTCATTAAGGTTTGAATTTTCTTCCTGCGTGTCCACTATTTTCTGGTTGAGCTGTGAAACGCTCCCAGACATCTGCTCCCACTGGCTCTGGAGCTTCTGGTGACGGTTCTAGTCAGAAAAACAACAAACCACATTATACTAATATGCACAGTGATGAAACTGAGATTGTGATGGATGAGGATTCACCTTCAGCCCTTTCACTTCTTGTTGGCTGGAACTCAGTGATTTCTCAGAGTTCTTCAGCAGTTCTTCGCGCTCTTTTATCTGCAAGGAGACAAACGATCAGCTTCATCAGCCTTTACTGAAAACAATAAGCCTGTCAAAGACGAGCGAATGAAATTTACCATGCCGTTTAATTCTGTGATCTTGTTAGCAGCATCAGATTTCTCGTTGAGAAGCTGCTGGATCTTGTCTCGAAGCTGCTTTTCAGTTACTGTGGAAAAAAAGATGTTGCAAAATATATTTAAAAAGTAAAGAAAATATTCTAAGAGGCTTTAAGAACACTCCCAATTACTACAAAAGAATTAAGTAATATTTCTGTAATATTTTACAGAAAAATACCCTACATATTAAGGTGAAAATAACAATACATTATGAATTATTCAATTTTGCTATTAATAACTAATATTACAATATTCAATGATGATTTAAAGATGCAAAGTAAACTATAAACTACATTGAAACAAATTTATCAAAAAATAAAATAACTTTCATATTTATTTGAGCAAGTGCAATCGACTATTAAAAAAAAAACTTCTAGCTGATAAAATTAAATTATAACATACATTTAAAAAATATTATATTTTTTTTTTCTCCATTAGACAAATTAAAATAATGTAGATTATATTTTGCAAATAACTTGTTTGTTTTCATATTATTTAATCATGCACTATTGCCCATTTTCACATAACCAGAACATTAAATATATTATAAACTAAAAGTTCTCCAACATGTGATTTTGACGGCCACAAACCAAATGATCAGCTAATTTTAAAAAAATCTGACAACAGCGCAAAAATACATTTTCATGATGACGACTAAAAACTGTAAAAACTAACAAATTATTAAAGTACAAAATAGCATGAACAGTACCATATATGTATGTGCCGTCATATCAACCAACCCTAAGAGATCTTAATGAGATAAAATGAATATTTAGCTGATATCTCAATGATGAGCCTGAGAAGTGACTTACATTGATATGTTCTTCCTTTGATCTAGAGAAGAAAAGAAGAGTTCAATGACACTGATTAGACTGAATCATTCACAAAAGAATGAAAACATTAAAGGGATAGTTCACCCAAAAATGAAAAATTGGTGTTTATCTGCTTACCCCCAGGGCATCCAAGATGTAGGTGAATTTGTTTCTTCAGTAGAACACAAATGATGATTTTTAACTCCAGCCGTTGCTGTCTATCAGTCGTATAATGCATGGCAATGGTAACAAAATCTATGAGAGTAAAAAAAAACATGCACAGACAAATCCAAATTAAACCCTGCGGCTCGTGACGACACATTGATGTCCTAAGACACGAAACGATCGGTTTGTGCCAGAAACCCAACAGTATTTATATCCTATTTTACCTCTAATACACCACTATGTTCAACTTCCCCCTGCGGGTAAGCAGATAAACATCACATTTTCATTTTTGGGTGAACTATCCCTTTAATCACAAAGTGATTCTTACAGCAAGAATGGTCCTCCAGAAGAACATCAGTACTGTGAGGGCCCCGGCAACCACCGTCGCAACCACCGGCTCCCAGGGGACTCCGTGGAAATTGGGACCCGGTCGCCATTCCTCCGGAAGAGCAGTGATCACCTAATCGAAGGAAAAACACACAAAATATCATCAGTTTTATGATAATTACTGAAATGACTACTAAACTTGACTACTTGGTTTCTATGGAAGCCTGTTTTCATCAAGGGATATAAAAATAAAAAAAGCTAATTGTGACTTTTTCATCTTCCAATTGTGACTTTTATTCTCGCAATGGAGTTACATTTCACAATTGTGAGAAAACAAGTCAGAAGTGTGAGATCTAAACTTGGAATTGTGAGATCTAAACTTAAAAAAAAAGAAGAAACAAAAAGAGAGAAAAAAAAAAAAGCAGAAAAAAATACAGCTAAAAAGGAATAGTTCGAGCCAAAACACCAGCAACAACACTAACAACCACAACCACAAATGACTCTAGAAACATTTCTCAAATTGCTAGTTTGCTTCTCAGAATCCCAGAACCATGTAAACTCCAACAGAAAACAATCCTGTTATTAATATCACACCAATTACTCGTGCAACCCGAGTTCAGTCTGCCAGACTTATAATGAACACATTACCGCATGTTAAAGAACCCAAACATTCTCGTATGAAAGTTTCTTTAAACTCAGGTAAAATATCTCTGAAAAGGATTTTAGTGAAAGTTATTTTTATCAGTTCTAAGCTCACTTTTTTTTTAACTGCACTGACTGTAGTTTACACACTAATGTCTGTTATAGCATCTCTTGCATTATTGCATTAATGTGTTTCTTACGGGCCTTAATGTCTTAAAATATGGTCTTACTCACAATTTCTCCGCTTTGAAATTAGATAGATAGATAGAGATGAGATAGTGAGTAAGTGGAGTAATAGGTCTCTGCTATATTAAATGCATGATATATATCTGAATTTTTAATTTAGAGGCAGCTTAAAATTAAGGAACAGCTAAAAAGGAATAGTTCGAGCCAAAACACCAGCAACAACACTAACAACCACAACCACAAATGACTCCAGAAACATTTCTCAAATTGCTAGTTTGCTTCTCAGAATCCCAGAACCATGTAAACGCCAACAGAAAACAATCCTGTTATTAATATCACACCAATTACTCGTGCAACCCGAGTTCAGTCTGCCAGACTTATAATGAACACATTACCGCATGTTAAAGATCCCAAACATTCTCGTATGAAAGTTTCTTTAAACTCAGGTAAAATATCTCTGAAAAGGAGTTTAGTGAAAGTTATTTTTATCAGTTCTAAACTCACTTTTTTTAAACTGCACTGACTGTAGTTTACACACTAATGTCTGTTATAGCATCTCTTGCATTATTGCATTAATGTGTTTCTTACGGGCCTTAATGTCTTAAAATATGGTCATACTCACAATTTCTCCGTACACTCCAAGATATTCTTTGACGAGAAGCACAAACCCCCAAAGCTCATCTGAAGTTGAGGAGCTGGAGGAATCACTGCTTGCTTCAGTGTCGTGGAAATCAGAGACCCTTGGAGACTCCAGTGAGCCTGGTGATAGAAAACAACAGTTTTAGCTAAATATATGCAACAACAATTATTAAAATTGAAGGAAAACTCTGACACACCTGAAGATGGATCCACTTCAAAGTGAAAGCCAATGTCCACTGGGTTCTCCAAAATAGCATGAGGCCCCTTCTGAATCTCCTCAGTGTCTTCAAACCCTATCTGGGCATCTTTATTTCTGTTGAAATGGCCCCCGTCCTCCTCCAGACCCACGTCTTTAGTGCGAGACAAATCTTCGTTCATATTTAATTCAGAATTCAGAATCACTTCAGATTCATTCTGCTCCTCGTGCGTTTCAGGACTCTTGGGTGGTTCGGTCATTTCGATGTCACTGTCCAAAGCCTTCACCACTTCAGAGTCAACTTTTTCATCTAGAAAAAAAGTGCATAAAGATATTTAATAAAACATTAACCCTGTATGGCCTGACATTTGAAATATGAAATTTTTGAACAGTTTATCGAACCTTTACACAAAATATTAAAAGGAAAATGTTTGCATTTTGTTGAGAATCATAGGCTTTTATGGCTCATATAGTATGATATAGCGAGAATATGGAGGAAAAAAATAATCTAAATTATAGGCCAACATGAGCAAAAATATGCAATTTGGTGCAGATGCTGATATTTATATGAACAAAAAGTGATAAGATTCTGATGCTTGTAATGAAAATCAACTGATATCTTTACACAGCAGATACTTACAGTACATAAAATGATAGAAATATCAGTTGTCACACTTTATCTCCAATAATATGTCTTAGTAAGATGAGATTTAAATTATCAAAACATATAATGCAATGCAATACAAAGATGATTGAGAGACGAACAAATAAACGTTCCTCAAAATCCTGTTGATCCCGTTTGAAAAAATATATATATATATAAATAAATATGTATAATCAAGTAAACATAGGCATTTCAGTCCCGTAAGTGTTCATCTTGAAATATAAGTTATTCTTATGTTTGGTGTTTTTAACCTTAAACCGCATAAACATTTCATTACACCAAATAATGTTCTTTTTAGCAGCATCATATGACCCCTTTAATTAAATCAGTAAAGATCTGACAGCAAAAGGACACATGAAGCACAAGCTGAAATGCCTTAAATGCCTTTTTTACTTGCTACGAAGATGTGGCACCAGATGTGGTAGATTGCGTTCAACAGGTTTAACAGCAAAGATTTAATCATTTAGAGGCATTTGAAATATGATGCAGTAGATTTTATAGGGTTAAAACCAAGCAAACAGCATATGATTTTAGGTGAAACCTGAAATGAATCATAAAAACAACCACTATTGTTCACATTATGCTTTGGAAAGATGAGCATTGCTTTTAGTACTGCTTAAATGACCTGTTTCAGATGCAAGCAGTTCTTCCTCGACCAACGGTGCGCTGTCACTGGCCGCTGAATATTTCTGTCGTAAAGCGAAAACGATCTCCTGGAAAGCGTCTAAGATGGCAGCCTCAAAATCATACGCTTCCGGCTCCTTCTGCTGAGATTTCCGCTCTCTTTCGTTCAATATGTCCTCTGTGGCGTCGAGAATCGAGTTCTCCGAGGCCTCCATGATCTGGTCCAGCATTCGCTCGATTTCCTCCGTGTCCGTCTGCAGCTCTCTGGCAGACTTCATCTCCAGATCTAGATCAGAAAACATGGCCTCGATTTTGAACAGGTTCTTCAGTCCAAAATACTTCTGCATGCGCTCCATGTCCTCGTCCTTCAGGTGATCCCGTAAGATTGTGAGCCTCAGCACGTTATCGCTGTATTCAGGCTCCTCGGGAGGAAGTCGAAGCGCGTCCTTTTCTTCTTGTTTTGTGGGGTTTTCGCTTTGTTGGGATTCGATCAATTGATCGCCTTCAGGTTGTTGGTTTTCTTTAAGTTGATGTATGTCTTCTGTGAGCTGAGGTTTAGAAGAAAGAAGAGCGTTTTCATCCTCTAAAAGCTCTTCGGCGACTTTATCCACGTCCTCTTCATCTTCATCATCTTCAGGACTCTGTTGTTCCGATTCCAGTGTGTTTTTCAGTAGATTCACGAGTTCGTTCTTCACTTTATCGATCTGTTCCTCCGTTTGGTCAAATAGAGGTGCAGTTTCTGGGCTTTCGGTTACAAGTTCCTCCTTTAACTTCTCATCTTCGCCAATCGAATCACTCACTTTTTCGCTGTTGTTCGTAAGTGCATCCTGAGGATCATCTGCAATATTTTCATTCTTGTTCATGCTGGCCTTCTGAAGAAGGTCTTCACTGTTTTCCATCTTGTTCGTGTCTAACTTCTTTGGATCATGTTCTTCAGTGATTTCACTAACGTTTAATGCCGGCGGTGCTTTTCTGGACTCAGTGTGCGTTTCCAATGCTGGTTCAGATGGGACGTTTTCGCTTGCATCCGAAGGAGTTTTAGCGTCTTGTGGAAGATGAGAAGATTCTGGGATTTTAATGTTTATGGCTTCATCTGCATTAGCCAGTTCTTCAAAATCACTTTGTGCATGCGTGACCTCAAGACCAGCTTGTTCTTCAACATCAGCAGCTGAAAGTGGCTCTTTGGTGAGTTCCTCAAGAGATTCGGTCTCTTGTGTTTCACCTTCATGCTCTGTTTTGAAAGCATCTTTAAAGCTTGACCGGTCTTCATCCTCGAGTGTTTTCTCTGGTGTTTGTAGTGGTATATCTTTATCATTTAGCTCTGTTTTAGCAGGTTCTTCATATGCTACGTCTAAACCTGCTGTTTGTGTTTCAAGTGGCTCAAAATCAGAGTCACTTTGGTTGTGCAAAAGTTCAGAATAATCAATATCTTGCGCATCAGAATCTGATGGTTCTGTTTCTACATCCTCTGAAATTACCTCAGCATCTTGGCTTATTGGAATATCTTCTGTCTCTTCTGTTAGTGCATCTTTAGATTCATATATCGGTTCTGATGAAACATCTGTCTTTGGCTGAAAGCTATCAGAGTCCTCTTCAGTAGATTTCAGTAATGTGTCTGTTTCAGGAGCTTCTACAGATTCTGAATCAACTGCCTTTGAATCAAGAATCGATTCTGAATCTCCTGACTCTGATTCAAGATGTGATGCTGATTCTGAATCAACTGCCATTGATTCAACAAGGAATGATGATTCTGAATCTACGGACTCTGATTCATGAACCGATTGTGATTCTGAATCAACTGACTCTGATTCATGAACCGATGTTGATTCGGAATCTAATGACTCTGATTCAAGAATCGATGTTGATTCGGAATCTAATGACTCTGATTCAAGAGTCTCCACTGATTCTGTCGTCGTCATTTCAGATGCATCTTCATTCTGAGCTGGTTCTTTTGATTCTTCTGTTGAATTCTCCTTTTCTAGCAACAATGTGCTGCCTAATAACACATCTATGTCATAGCTTTCAAATTTATCGAGCCCAGTCTCAAAGCAAACAAAATCGGTTTCCTGAAATGGGAAAGAAAGATTCATGTTAACGAAATGTCACATCAAAAACGACCATACATCAGTCAATATTAACCACACCGACATACCTCTGTAGGTACCTCCAATTCTTTATCAGTATATATATGATTTATATTAAGATAGTCCTTTGGGAAATAACCAAAGTGGTTTCCAACCTATACAAATAGAGGAAGAGGGAAAAAGTGATCAGTTTTTGCGCTGCAGTATAACAGTGTTTATACTGTATAACCATAAGAATAAGAAAATAATACATAATGAAAAAACTGAATAATATGCATAAAACAAGGCAGTCTGCACTTATATTTTATAACTTTGTACATGTATATATTTTTTTCATATATTTCCTCTCTCATTCCAAAGAAAAGTATTAAAAACAATTATAGGAAAAAAGAGAGTTCAATAAAGCGTAGCACAAAGCACACACAAACACTGGGTAAAATAGTCCATTTTAATTAGATTTACTGTTTATTGTATACTTCAACTTTAGCTGTTTAAATGAATTTGTTTCATTAAGCTTATGGTAACACATTGATTTGTTGAAGGTGGTGTGGATGTTAGTAGTTGCTTAAAGGAATAGTTCACCCAAAAATGAAAATTTGCCAAAAAAAAAATATTTATGGGAACAGATTTGGAGAAATGTAGCATTGCATCAGTGTCTCAGCAATGGATGCGCTGCAGTGAATGGGTGCCGTCAGAATGAGAGTCCAAACAGCTGATAAACACATCACAGTAATCCACAGCACTCCAGTCCATGTTTTTAAGAAACAAATCCATCAAGATGTTTTGAAATTTAAATCATTGCTTCTGGCCAAAATGAATGTCCATAATCCAAATTCCAAAATAATGCTTTCTTCTGTGAAAAAGACCATCCTCTGTTGTCTCTCACATCAAAATCCACACATATATTTGTTTAAAGCCGTTTTGGCTTGTAAACGGTGCTTGATCCGTGCAGATTTCTCTTCTGATTCAGACCTGATTTCACTGGAGGAATCTTATGGACTCATATTTTAGCCAGAAGCAATGGTTTGAAAACACCGTAATTATATATATATTTATTTTTATTACAAACATGCAGCTTTTCACTTCTCACGATGTTAACTGATGGACAGGAGTGGTGTGGATTACTTGTGATGTTTTTATCAGCTGTTTGGACTCTCATTCTGACGGCACCCATTCACTGCAGAGCATCCATTGCTGAGACACTGATGCAATGCTACATTTCTACAAATCTGATGAAGAAACAAACTCATCCTAATCTTGAATGACCTGAAGGTGTGTAAATTTACAGAAAGTTGTCATATTTGTGTGAATTATTCCTTTAACACATTTCTCTGCTACTGAAGATTCGTGCATGATATTTATTTAGTTGGGCGACAGATATGTAGGCTGTTTGCAATGATAAAGTAATATTAATCAAATACTGGCATCCGACTACATCATCAGCAACACCCAAAATCATCAAACAATCAATCAATGATTAACAGGTTACTTACACTACCAGCCCACAAATCCGATCTCTGCCCTGAGAGTTTATAATATACATATATCGTCTCTCCTTTCTTAAAAGAGAGAAACCGGCAGTCCGGCCCTGTGAAATCCTTGGCGGCCTTCCCTCTGCCGAGAAGCACTAGAGAGACACAAAAAACATGTTAGGATGAAAACTACTCACTTCATGTTAAAATTCTGAAAGCTTACCATATACAGTGTTCTGCATGAAAGTTGCATGAAAAATGTTAGATTTGTGCTTACAATGAGGAATTTTAACTTCATATGACTTAGAATCGAATGCAATATGGCATAAAAAAAACATTGTGATTAATTCATTCTAATTTGCATTAAAAATAAAGCATATTAAATGGGAATTTATTTAAGGGAAATATATCTTTAATTTCTTGATCTGGATATTTTTGGAGCGTTTTTGTGAGATTCACAAAGGTTGAATTAAGAAATTTTGTGTGTTGAATGTTTTGCAATTGTGTGTTGAAACAGTACTGCGTGCATTTTTTTTAACCATTTAATGATAATGTAAATTCAAAATTTCTGATGAAAGTGGTGCTACATGTAATAATGAAAATGATCTTTAATTGCAAATACATCTAGTACAATCTAAGGAAAGAGGGATTGGGAATGATTATAATATTTATTTTAACAGGAAACAATATATATATAAAAATGCTATAGTTAATATTTGGTTAACTAAATTAAGTTGCATTACCATATAAAATAAAAATATTTTATATTTTAAAAGACAATATAGCTGATATTTTAGAGTTTATTTTTATATTTTTAAACTTTAGTTTTACAGTAAAATCTAGTAAGAACACCTACATTTTTTTTTTAATACTTAACAATAAAATTATTACAGTGCTGTTTTTACGTAAAAAATAAACACTGTTTTTATTCTTTGTGAATTAATAATTCATGCATCACAGAGAGATATATATCTCAACAACATCAGAAAGAATTATGTTTTTTTTCCAGTCGACCACTAATGGACAATGCACATTGTGTTTGATTATTTCTACTGAATTTTACGTAAAATTAAAAAAAAAAATCGTACAAGACTACATAAAGTGTTCAGTTCAATTCTCAAATGGTAAACATATTATTAAACTGCAATGCAATATAGCAGATACTTGCATTATGCATATATACATACAGTTTGCGTGCATTCCACTCTAAATATCGAGAAAAAAATGTTTTTTGTCAACAACAGATCAACCTGATCCATCTCAAACGTGAACAATCGAATCACGCAGGCTGATTGTAAAGAACGACCTTCCGAATCAAGCAATCGGTCTGTTTACATGGCGATATGCAACCAGGCCTTATAATTTAACATTATTAACTGTTTCAGCATTTGGTCGTAACATATTAAAAGCATAAAACATGGTTGATTAAAGAACCATATTGAGTGTACAGTGTGTTTATGCTGTTAGCTCGACTGGCTAAACTGAGCTCAGTACCAACTAACAGGATCTTCAATATCAACCCTCCACGCAGCATAAAAACCCCGCTTCTCATTAAATTAATTTACTGTTGCATTTGTTACAAAGTTGCAGTATCCCGCGGCAGCGGCCTTTATGACGTCAGCAGCAGCATCCTGATCCAAAGTTCCAGAGATACTCACTGCTGCATTCTTCATCGGCGCATCGCTTCAGGTCCGAGAAGCGCCCCTCCGCGCTGCTCCGAGGGAAACACGCGTACAGAACAAGCGTAAAAACACAACAAAAGCAGGGCTTCGGTGCAGCCATGCTGGCAGCTGTTGATCACGGAGCCGCTGCCGACACGTCAGCAGATCCGAGAAGAGAACCGCCGGAATCATGTTACAGAGCGCTTAAAGAGACCGCAGCACCAAAACAACAGACCACGCATGCGCACGGCTAAATCAGCACGCACAAGACATGCTTTTTAGAATGTTTGATACGTTTTACCATATATTTCTTTTTTTATTAGTGTTTTTTTTTTTTCAGGTGCATTGTTGCATAAAGTATTTGATCATAAACACAGTAATGTTTGGGACAAGAAACATTATAAATAGATAGATAGATAGATAGATAGATGATGGATGGATGGTATTACGCCCCACGTCTAGGGGTAGTAAGAATATCGCTCTTAACAGGGCATAATAAATCTGGGTTGTGGTAATGGAATCCCAAGTACGAATCACTCCGGGCGATAATCAAACATTTCCACGATGTTAGTCAGTTTAAAGGATTAGATTTATTTTAAAACAAGTAAGTGAAATAAAGAGCATCTCTCCAGGATGTCCCAAAGGCCAAAATAACAAACAAAACAAATCTAGGGAGGGAAAAAGAAGAAGATAAATAACCTAATCGAATAAGGAAATAAAAATACAGATTACTTCCCTAACTACCTAGCACAAAACAGAACCCAAACAAGATAAGTAAAACAAAATGGCAGGACACCCCTTTTGCTCTACGGTCTTAACACACAAAGTTGACAACGAATAAACGTGATCAACATATTTCACACTCCACTTGAGAATACAC